CTGAAAACTTATTTGGTTTTTTTTTTACCTATACCACCTCGCCTTTTCCAATAATTAAAACAAAAAGAGAGGCGGAGACCTAGCCAAAGAATTTAACTGTCTAATTTTTTTCTTAACTATAATTATTACCAGTAATAAGATTAATAATAAAATATTTTTAGCTGAGGTTTCTTTGTAGGAGCTAAAACTGGACAACTGTGAGAACCACATGAGCTAAAATTAGGGAAAGTGACATCGGAGGGCATGGTTACCATGACAGCCAGTGAGCCTGAAGGTGTTTCTGCTAAGATACACAAAGTCAAATCCGTTAGTTTGATTCAATGCTGCAGCATCGCAAACATGAAGCTAGAATTCCTACAGCCAATAGTTTTCCTTAGTTTGTCCATAAACCTAAAATTTTTAAATAACATACAATAACCTCTGCAACCCATAGGTCTTGGTTGCAGACCTGGGAGCCTCTTCAGCCTAAACTTCATATTTACACCTTCAGAGCAGTGATGACATAAATAATAATTTTATGCATAATTGTATGCAGGTTTGTACAAAGACACAAACGACACGTTTGTCTGTTTGAAGCTGAAAAGTGTTTGTATAGTGGTGTGTGCATTTCCACGTATGAAATCCTGCCTATCAATAGAGGTCTGTAAGAAGCAGTCACCCTCTTCCTCCCCCTCCGTCTCCTTAGTGGACTTGTTGATGGAGGAAAACAGAAGAGCTGTTGTACAATTGGGTGGCTGCATAAATGTGGCACTCATCAAATATGCACCTCAGCAGTGCCTGCCAACTCACTTCCTCATTGAAATTCTGATTAAATAAGGCCAGTGTGGCTAGTGTGCAATTTTAAAACTATTAATTTATGCATCTTTGGATCACCTTAAACTCACAGTTAAAATGCCCGTAGGTGGTGTTGTAGGAAGCTTCTTTATAAACAGAAAACACCAAGATAATCACAAAAGTCCTGGGGGAAGTGAAGCAAAAACAGAAATGGGAGATTTTTAGATTTTTGTCTAGAAAAACATTTGAGGCTTTCTCCTTACACTGGTGATTTAAAGGAAATGAAGAACTGTGCAAGAAGCCAGGTTTTTCACTGATGAACACACTGTTAATGTGCCTTAGTAATACACTAATAAAGCCCACTCCACTGCTGTCTTCCTCTCCATTTGTGACCAAAAATCGCCATCTAACCATCACCACTCTACCACACAGCTCCATCCTGTGCTGAATAATTTAGCAGCAGAAAACGACGGCTCATTTCAGTCAGGCCAGGGCTGGCTCAGTAGTCTGAATGATGGCAGTTCTGAATCCAATTGACCTGCTGACACTTGTGCATGACTGATCACTTTACATACCAATCAGTTGTTTTTAGATGAACACACGTGACTCCTGTATATGAATCGCAGTCAGCTGGCAGGGTACAGCCGGGTGGGTTTTTAGCAACATCAAGGGCAATTATTCTTTTAAAAAGCAGGACACAAACAAAAACATTCCTACTGCAAGTAAAGTCCAGTCCCTCAAGCACCAACAAAGTGCTTTCTTTCAACCCAACAGGGGTATTCCCCTAAGACTTTTACGTGTCACTTTTTCATTACCATTTTCAATGTCAAATATTAAACTTTTTTTTTTCTTTGTGAGTCTCCTCAAATTCTTGTGGAAGGAGGTTTTTATCACCACTGCCAATGAAGGACAGAAGAAAGTGTAATGGACCAAAAGCATACAGTGGTTTTTCTATCCAGATTAACCTGTTGATCGCTTTTTATCATTATTAAATATTTAAAACAAAGCCTTCAGTGAATAAAAAAGTGAGTTCCTGAGGATAAAAATAAAATAATATATAACAATAATATAATAACAATAATATACAAGCTTTTGAAAGCAGGCCTTATAAAGACTCCACAGTGTCATTTAGAGAGCATATTCTTCTAGTTTCGGGTCCCAACTGCCTCATTTACCCAGTCAATTAACTGAGGAGCAACTGAGGTGAGGAGAAGTTTGAAACACTTGATATAATCATCGGTTCCTGTCAACGTCTTCAACACACCTTTCAAACCATTATTCACAATTAAATGAACTCGGCCTCAATGGGGCACTCCGTGCCTGCTTGTTTATATTTCTCATAAGTCTGCTGGTCATATGCCAGTAAAACATTAGTGGGCGAGGTATTGGATATAGCTGTCTGAAATGTGTGCCTCCTAAAGGACAGGCTTTGGCTCTGATATTTATAATTTTATACTTACCAGAATAGGCAAGAGGAAAATCTGACAAATTGTCCTCACACTTTTACAAAATGGAAGACAGGGAATCAGTGAAGATTTTTGTGTTGAGAGAATACTATGAGCCTGATATGAATATATAAATAAATGATAGAATCCTATTTTTAGTAATGACCACACTTCACTTAAGAAACCCTTGAAGCGAAAGGGGACACGTTGTTCATGGGAGGTTAAGTGATGTGACCTGCTCAAATGCCTGATAACCGAGACGGTCAATTAAAGGCCGGAACAGAGAAGTCACAGTGGTTGACTACAGACTGAATTCATAAGGTCCTCAAAAAGGAACTGAACATTTTAAATCAGTGTCATTCTTGTCTTACAGGAACTAACTTAGTCATTAGAAAACCTTTGTCTGTGAACGCAGAAAGTGCAGACAAACCTTCAACCCAAGTGACCCCTGACGTGTGATGGCTGTGTTGGTTTGTGATGTGTTTTCGTCATTTAATAAAATGAAGTAACAGTCCTCAGTCCTTTATGTGATTAAATCTAAATAGAGATTAGTATGCGTGTGTGTGTGTGTGTGTACATGTGTATGCATGTGTGTTTGTGTACGTGGTGGCTTCACTTCAAGGACATCACAGTCACTGCTGGGTATCACGTTACGTGGACAGCTGCAAGAGACCGCGTACAACATAAACCCATATCAACTCTGTAGTAGACACACAGCCACCCACAACTCTGGAAATTGAAAATGAAAACGTAAGATTTATGGGAATATCAAGATAACGTCAGGAGAGCACTAAAACTGTCACATTTGCGGAAGCAACTGTGATTGTTTTCGCTGTTTTCCCTACCTTTTTTCATAGATAAAAAAAACTAAACTTTTTTTCAACACATATCAATGTTGTCTCTCTGTCAGAGGATATTGTACGCAGTAATCAAAGCCCCAGCAATAAAAATGATCTCAGAGCAGATGGATATCCCCTACCCATCACTGCCAGGGTTGTAATATTTCTTCAAGTGTGACTGCTATGCCTTTGACCTCTGACGCCACCTTCATAAACAGTCCTTTGATTATTAATGTTGAAGGCGGCCACCTCGCTCTCAACCTCACCAAAGACCCTGGGGTCCTCGCTTTGCATGGAGAGAGAAGGTGTTGTAAATTTAAGACACGATGCTATGTCATGTTACCTCCTCCTGTGGCATTTATCTGACCTTATAGTCATTGCACTTCCACAAAAAGAGCTACAACTGGGAGTCAATAGAATGACTGTTTAGGCCTTACGTATGTCAGAAGAATGACTACGCCACAATGTTGGGAGTCATACTCTCTTAAGACTACTCTGTTATTGTGTCTATTCAGTTAATGGTGACCTCATCTATTATGTTCTGTGATGTCACTTTAATATTCCTATACTATTCCCGCTGCAGCTCCATGTGCTTAATGATGACTTTACAGTGATGAATGTGGAAAGCTATTGCAGCAGTGTTCATAAATAGAACTTAAATGTCCTCCGAGTGTTTCAAAAACAGAGACTTCCCCAATTTGGATGGAAAAATTACGTGGGTGCGTTTAAAAGGAATGATGACTGAATATTAGTCAGAGGTAAAAAAAAAAAAAAAAGTATTATTACCGCCACCCCTGAGGAAATTGATTTGGGCTGCATTTTACCCGAAAGTTTATCTCGCTTTAACTTTTTTATATCAATACTAAAACTCACAAGGTGCGAGCCCCAGAGGAACCAGATACTTGGCGCCTCCTGTTGGGCAGCCTGTTGCAGCGGAACTGCTGTGCGGGATCAGTGTGTGGGATCGATAGATCGAAGTTCAAATTATTATTCTTATCAATAACTTCATGTTCCCATCTATAATCTTATACTAAATATCTTGTTTTTAATTTATTTAGACAAAGAGCAACGGTCAATATGTTGTTAATTATTAGCTCTGTTCGAACGACAGACTCAAATACATCAATAATGATTATGACGCCTACCTTTCCCGTAGTTGAAGTGGAGTTTGATGGTCTTGCCTTGGTTGATGTGCAGGTAGGTGAACCACACGGCGGAGGTGAGCAGAACCAGCAGCAGCAGGAGCTTGAACTGCTTCCGGATCTTCTTCACCGGGAAGCGCAGCATCCTGACTCGAACATCCTCAGGTATCTGCAACCTAGAATGTCAGAACTAGTAGCGGCTGCTGAGTTTAGTTGTTCTTATAAAGACAGACCAAACAAACGTCACTGAAAAAACACGCCAGGTGGCGTGCGTAAAACCTGGCACCTAAGCGCTTCTCATTGTGCCGCATCCACAAAGTGACAGCAACAGCACGGTCGTCACATCATCAGATCTGAGTCCGGACCCCTCTGTGGTGGTGGTCATTGCTCCTCAATGCCACCCGGCTTCTCCTTCCACCTACGAAAAGTGTGACTTGCAAACGGGACAAGTTTCCAGCAGGCAGCAGGGAAAAGGCTGCGGGTTTTATACCCGACGAACAGAAAATAGCAGTCGGACGATAATCTACACAAATCCCCGATTACTGTTTCATCTGCAGATCACTCACAGTGAAGTGTCAGAGAGCAGGGAGAGAGAAGAGGAGTTCCCATGCGTAGATGTGATCGGACAGTGCAGCAGAGAAGACCGTGCAGAGCACACAGAGAGCCGGGGGGGGGTGAGGGATGATTTAATCTTTCCCAATGAGTGCAAATGAAATTAAAGGGCCCTCGGAGACATGTGACACTGGAGCTGCACTGAGTGGCAGCCGGCTCTGGGAAAGGTTAAGGTGTCCATCAACCAAATGTCACAGCCCTCAGCTCAGCCCTCCTTTGTTAACCACCGCTGAAACACAACACAGCTGAGACTCTGGTTTCCAGTGTCGAGCAGTGGATTCAGATGGAGCGCGTTTTTATCTATATTTAAGTCCAGGGAGAGGAGGGGCGATCAGCTTTCATCCTCACACTCGGCTGTTATTAAAAAAAAACCTCTGGATTATGAGCTGTGGAATTCCCATATCGATGTAATGTTTTCATTAAAACAAAACAAAAAACAAAAAACAGATGTGAGTTCAGGCTGAGGTCCAGAGAGGAGATTTCCATGTGCTCCGGTTGCTTCTCCTATCAGGCAGGTGCATTTCAGCCCCGATTCTTGCCGAAGTATCCGCGGTGTCTCGTTGGCCCGTGCGTGCTGGAAGGGTAAGCCTAAAAAAGAACCGCATCCGGAGGAAACAAATAAACACTTTGAGACTGTGTGGTTCCTAAGGATGTACAAGCTTGTGTTGTTATCCAGTCTTCAAGCTTCTTGTTCACACCGCCGCAATAAGCATCGTCTAAACCCGCTACTTGTCACCGCGCACGGCGAGGGAAAAAAAGCCGAGCTTCAGGAAAGGTGTCGCCGTGGAAAACAGGCAAAAAACACTGAGAGGGAGGAAGAACATGAATTTGATTGCTAAAATAAAACGCGAAAGGTTAAATCTCCCGTCACTGCAAACACAAACAGCTCCGTACGCCCATCAATTGAGCTTCTGAACGCTGCAGAACAACCTAACGTGCGTGGACGGGGCAAAGCCTGGCATCCAATAAAAACACGGGAGAGGGAGCAGAGGAGGCGGGATGTGGACGTCTGCTCCCGCGGTTGCTTGGTACTAATGTGGTCATCCTCCAATGGCTGAAAGCACAGCCTGGGAACTTGTCACGGTTTCTTATATTACTCTACTACAAGTCAACTCTGGCCGATATCAGGAAACTTTTATTATACTTATATATTTTTATTTTCCCTTGAAGGAAAAGCTCAGCAGTGTGTCTAAGGTGTGATTTGAGGTTCAAGAGTGGGGCAGCAATTATCGTCTGTTACGTCATGCATTAAATTGCAGGAATTTCGAGAAATAACGAAACTTAAGTACAGTTGTTTCTTGCCAGTGGCTTACAGATTTACAGTAAATCATCTCTCGTGCTGTCATTTCTCCTTCTGTTTGGCATTTTATATTAAAGAAGTATACACCAACTTTACACCTGTAACATATAGAAATTGAACATCTTTGACTCTTTGAGTGACTTTCAACATGCGTTTTAATGAATTACATTTGAATCACAAAAGCCTTCAGGTTTATTATCATTTTTATTATTATTAATATTATTATTATTATTATTATAGTACAACATTGGCCAAGTCCTTTAATTTGTCTTTAATCATTCCTGATGCAGAGGTAATGCTTCACAGTTCTCAATTATGCCAATACTTGAGTTATTTTATGTATTTTCTCACATTTATTAGCTTAAATAAAATATATTTATTATAATTTCATTAAAAATTCTGCACTGATTGAAAAGTAACTTGATATGATCAGAAGTTTACATCTACAACATATGAACATATGTAGCTGAAAGTTTGACAGTCCTACAGCAGGGAAGGTAGCTACGACTATTTCTAACTCTATGATAAATCACATGGAATGATAATTCCAACTTTACCAAAAGAAATGATATTGATAAAAATGTTTATTCGAGCACCCCATTACATTACAGTAAATAGTTCTTTAAATTAAAGTTTTATTAGCTCTTTAAATCACTAGGACTTCTTAGTGTAAGTCCACAGTTTATGGCTTCTCTGTTGTCCAGCTCCAACAACACAGAGCCTCCACCACCCACAGTCCTTGACTCATAGCTCCCTCACAAGCATGTGCAGTTCTGACTGACACTAAATTCTTTCCAGAGCTGGACCGTCCGGTCCACACCTTCACAGCTTCATCTGTGGCAGAGTAAACTCCAGCTCCTTGTATCCAGTTTGTGACACTGACAGATCCTTTTATCTCAGCCCAGGTGGCTGTCGTGCAGCCACCTCCTGACTCTTAGGGGAGGCTTCCACGTCACCTTCATGACCTGGCTCTAAAGAGATGCTGCAATGGCAGCCAGCCTTCTGCTCAGACTCCTAGAGATGTTTCCTTTGCTGTCAACCTCTTGGTTCCTTTCCTGCAGGGTTCAGCCTTGTCATCAACACCCTGGTCTGCAGCCCATCTGCCTGGTGTAATTGGCCTTGGCCTTTTGGCCTGTCCTGCCAGACATTCTCCTGGAGTTTCTTAGTTTACAGTTTTACTCCTGTGCTCCCTGTTCCTTGATTGATCACCTGCTCTGTTCTACTGTGTTTCACCTCTGAATACCAGTTCTGTTCTCGTTATGTTCCTTCCAAAGTTAATTTTTTAAATATTTGTTTTGCTTTTTTTTAGTCTTTTTTTTTTCAATTTTAAAATAGACTTCAGCGCAGTGTCATGCAGGATTCAGGTGTATTGGTTTTCCCTTTTAGCAGCCTTGCTAATTAGTACTAATTAGCAGCAGCTGTGAGAGAAAACAGGTGCTCTTGATTGATGGTTTTAGAGTTTTGACCACCCTTTTCTCCCATATCACATCTACATTGGGGCTGCCCAATAAGTAGATTGGGATCTACCAGTAGATCACAAAGGTAGAGCTGTTAGATCCTGAGCAATTACGTTTTAAAAAATAATAATAATTAAAATTATAGCTATCTTAAGATCCTAATCACTGGGCTAGTGTAAGGACCATACACATGTTGAGTCAGACAGTATATAACTACATGTTCCATACAACCACAGCCATTTTCAGAAATATAATTTCTGGTTATTAGACAGTAATATATTTTCAATATAGATCACTTTAGGCTGGTCACTGAAAAAGAAGCTCCCAAGCCAAAAAAAAGTGTGGACACCCCTAATCTACATTATATGCACTGTACACTCATATAGCTATAAGGATTAAATTCATCCAATGCCTGTTGGTTTTCTGAGTGTTATGCAATATTTACTTTTCAACTAGCTGTTGTATTTCTATTGCCATTACGAGTGGAGGCGGAGTTTGATAGTACGTGATATCTGGCCGCTAAGAATATGACCTGAATTCATTTTGTCCCTGCTGTGCCATCTGAACGTGTGGCTCCACAAACCATAATCCTCAGTGGTCTTTGGATTATTAATGAAATCTTCCGAGCAAACACAGAGTATAAATGAAATGCTTAGGTACTCATCCCTGCTATATTGAAATGAGTACTTCACTGACCTCGACCTCACATCATTTACATTGTGAGAAATACACACAAGTGATCACTCGGCCTGAGCTCTTACACTGGAAATGGAGGGTATTTCATCATACACACACACACACGCACATAAATCAACAAAGGTCATGCATTTTCTTTCTTTAAGATGTGGTGCATTGTTGTGAATATTTCCTATCCTTATCTAATGAAATTGAATTATTCTTCTGAATTGTTCTGTCAAATTTGAAACAAAAAATGTTTTGTAATTGCACTTTATATTCTATCTAAATTGTACACTTTTTTTTCTTAGGCTTCAAGATGACAGCGGACGACCTGTTCGATTTAAATTGACAGGCACAGGAGACAGGAATTTTACCTATTACATTGCTCCATTTGCTGATCAGCAGCAGAAAAATAAAGTGAAAATCGACAACAGGAGTTATATTTTTCCAAAACTGAAATACTTTCTTATCCCGTCTCCCCTACTGAAATTAGTTTCGCTGTGCTTTGTTTTATAAAATGCTCTGCTGTTTCTGTCTTTTTTTTTGCCTGCAGAAGTGTTTTTCATCTTTAAAGCTCAACTTAAATACAGGAGGAGGAGATGTGCAGAGAAACGACACAGACAGAGAGGTGTAAGGTGCAGGCTGTTTCTGGAACTTCCTGCTGGGTTAGTATAGAAACCACTCCTGCAGGGACACAATGCTAAGCCATTTTGACAAGGTATCAAAGAAAAGTACTGAGGGATGATACCTCCGAGCCCACAGGTATATAGGGCACAACTGTAGGTTCAGTATGCAGAGAGAATGATAACAGAGAGCATGGCCATGTTTGCATTTGAATCAAGAATAAGTGATGCAGTCAAGAACAATAAAAGAAGCCCATAACAAGCCTCTGGGTCAACGATGCCAGACCCCAATGCAATGTTCCCATACTATATCACTTCTTTGAGTAATCCAGCCCCCCCCCCATCCCACCTGCTTCATTGTCCCACTCAGGTTCCCTTGCCCTTTATTCTTCAGCTCAAACAGTTTCTCACACAAAACTCACCTTCCTTTGTGCTGTTCCACACAGCATTCTGCGACTTTTGATGAAATGTCTGAACTGAAATGTCACAGGGATTAAAGGGTTCTGACTCCTCCATCCCACTGGATCAGTTATGGCTGCCTCCTCCCCAAACAGGTGCAGAGTGGCATTTCTTTTAGTTACTCTGTGGCCTATTGAATTTCCTTCTGGGAAAATATGCACTACTCTATGTTTACGGATGAGTAAGGAAGAAAATGAGAGATTGGGAAGAGGTGATGCGAAACAAGAAGAGGAGAGGCGAGATGAGAAGAGTAAATTGAAAGAACCACAGATCAGAGCAGAGGAAAATGATACTTAAGAAAAAAAACATGTAAGGCAATCTGTTTCGGAAGATTTTGCACTGTAAATATTGCTTTGTATGTGTTTAGTCGTGTGGTCATCAAGGCTGACTGGTCAATTACAAATGAATGAATGATCATTTTTCTAATGATAGTCCCATGAAATTTGATGGATAGATTGTTATATAAATGTATATATTTATATCTGTATATCTGTATATATATATTAACAAACATTATTGGAATATAGTATATAAATAAGAAACATAATACTAATGAATTAATAGATTATTTCAAAGTTGACCTAAATTGTTTCTGGATAATTCTGTTGCTGCTCACACTTATTTTCTGCAGCTGTTTCTTCCAGAGTCAGTGAGACAGATTTGAAAATTAGATGTCTTCAGAGATGAGTACTTCTGATGGATTGCTTAACATCCCAACAGCTGCCATATTGAAACGCTCTCTGCAGGCTTTTATTTGGCTGCTTCACAAAGTAGAGAGTATCAACCCTAGCAACAATCTCTGTTTAAATTCACCTGAGGAGCGCAGCTCTGCAGGAACGTGTCAGTTTGTCTGTGCTACAGAGTAAATTAAACGGGGTTAAGGGTCAAAATGGAACATGGTACATTAGCTTGTAGCTACTGTTGATTGTCTAGTTTATTCTCTAACGGCAACATCACAATGAAGCGTATACTTTTTTTTTTAAATGACAAATACTCCATTCATCACAATGTCTGAAAACGTGTCCTACTGTCTGACAGAACATGCTGCCTGGCCTTATTATCTCAAAGACTTCGGGGTGGGGGGGCAGCAATCATGCAGAAATAATATTCAGTATCTCATTCATCCTTTTGTGCTGTGGGTACAATGTGCTCAGAAAAAAATATCTAGGTCATGTTTCCATTATTAGTATGCCAACCAGGTGTTACGTAAAAGAGATTAGAAGGAAGCGATGCCAGTGGAAGTCACTCTCTCACTTCTATCTTCTCCATTCTCCTTATCCATTCTCCGTCTGATACAAAGCAGTCACACTTAAATGCTCCCACTGTCACACTGAACCCCATGGCCATGACAAGTGGTCCAAAGATTAGGCATTTATGCAGCTCTGATATGCAGACTGCTGCAGGATAATTAAAGGAACTTCTTCAGATCATTATTGTGTCCAACAGTCAACAGGTGTTGTGGCTTTCACCTGGCAGTACCTTGTCTGTGTATACAGCACAGTCAGGATAACTGTGGTTTAATTGCAGAGTTAAGGTAGGCAGAAAGCAGAAGCTGAGTTTAGTATTTCATTGATGGTACGACAACTTGGCAGACTTGGGCGTTGACTTGAGAGCCATCACATAAACGTCTCAGTGGACTCATTACTTTGGAGGCATTAACAATTAGCCAGACTTGGGTGTTGACTTAGCACATATTAATGATTTAACATGGGCGTTGACTTAAGCCACATGGACAACTTTGCAGACTTGTGTGTTTATTTGGCACATAGACATTGTCAGCTGTGGAGGCGTTGGACAAATTAAATGTATTGTCTTTAATGATTGTCGACACGTTTTTTATCATTCATTATAATCAACTACATACACTCTGGATTCTCAAATGTGAGAATCGTTCATTTATTAGAATCAGGCATTAAAATAGTATCTGTGGAAATTCTGGAATAGTCTGGTCTCTTTCTGGTCTCTGGAGAAGGATAACATCACCAAGTGATAAATCTGAAGGGCGAATCTCCACAGTGTCACAACCTAAAGTCAGGCAAAGAAATCCTATAGGATTGAGGGGACGTTAGTGGGAATCAGAGCACGGAGAGTCATCACCATAAAAATCACAACAAATAGCTCACACTACAAATAGTAATCTTCATTACTTCATTACACTATGTAGTGTATATGAACTACAGTAAATCACAAGCTTTGTTTGTTGATACCTTCTAATGTGAAAATAAAGAGAAAATCAAGGTAATGTATTAATCGCATAATAGATATGTCTAAAGTTCTGGCAAGGAACAGCAAGTGCTCGTGAAAAAAAACCAACAGAATACACAAGGGCAAAAACAAAGTTGTCTTTTTCTGTTGTCAAACACTGCATAATTTATTTTCACCTTGACAGCAACAGGATATTAAAATATTTATGCAGCATAGTTTAATGCAAGGAACACGCAACTCACATTTTATTTTTAGTGACGCGTCGAGACCTCTGATACAGAATGCAGAAAAGAAGATGACCCTCTGAGTTAAAGTCTGCTCAAAAGTCTCTATCAGCACATGCTCTTTGAAGAATGTTAATCTTCCAAGATTCTGCTCGGAGATGACCCCCAGTGGACCTTCAAATCACCGAGCTGTGGGATGTATTAAGAAGATGCATTTCCCCAGCCGAGGCCAGACAGGGTCTACATCAGAGCCTTATTTGTCCAGAAACAGGGTTCAGTCGGCCACTGAGGTCATGCTGAGAGAGGAGCAGGGTGTGGAGGAAGAACATCATAAGAGCAGAAACCTGGGCTGGAAGCTGTTGAGATTGAAACCTGTCGTGCAGCTGCTAGAAAGTAGAAGATTTGCTTTTACAAGTAAGTTGGGATGGATGGCTTTTGCACTTTTACAAAAAGAACACGGGGTTAGCGGGAAAAAAATTGCAATTCACCGTGCTGGATGCTGTTGAGCAGAGGAATCAAGGACACTGAACAGGGAGGCGCAGGAGTAAACAGAGAGCAGTGAGGTGATGTTCTGGTCTGTATGGAGTGTACCATCACATTACTCGTGGCTGAGTTATAATTCAAAGACGTTTTGCAATGTATTATTTTTTTCTTTGCTAATTAGAACAACAACTGAACTGTTCTGTACCGTATCAGCTGCAGGAAATTCACAAAGATTCTTAATTAAAAGAGGACTTTGGACCACTTTCTGAAAAAAAAAGAAGAAAAGAAAACACAATACAACATAACTTTGCAGCTCGGCTACCCAATTTAAATTTTACTCAAAGGCAACTATTTGACTTTATTTAACTTTTGCGTAAACAGTTTTGTATGTTTGCACTGGTCCGTCTGGATTCACTTGATTAATATATACAAAAAAGTCAAGGCGTGGACTTAGTAAGAGTCAAAATGTGGTTGGAACATTTAGTCTGGGGTGTGTTAGAAAAAGACAAAGCGGTAAATAATGGATTGAAAAAGACATTGTGAAATGTTTCAGGAAGTATAAGGAAATATCTGCAGTGAATCTGAGGGTGCTGCTAAACACTGTATGCATGCCTTTTGAGTCTTTTAACTTGAAATCCTTTGACATGGTCCGCCACTACATGACAGATGTATATGTATATTTACTGCGTTTTTAGTTCATAATAACAGATACAATGAGTTAAGTTTGATTTTTTTTCAGCAATAATATCTGATCAGCAATTAGCATAATTGAATGAAACTGACACTTACGCTTACAGCCGCTAAATGTTTTTTAATCCCTGTACACATTTGTCTCCTATGTTTGAACCAGGGATTGTAAGTTAGACTGGGCAATAAAAGAGCAAATCCAAATTAGAGTGAGTGAAAAAAAGAGCACAGTTCATCAGTAGTACAAGCACAAGGTTTTATCTCACCCAGCAGGTGTGGATTATATTTTAATTGGAATTTTCCATGAAATACATGGGTGAAAGAAGATTGTAGCAGTGTTAAATAGGAAAAGAGCTGTGGGAAGATGGAGACAAAGAGCAAAGAGAGGGACAGAGGACAAGTCGGTCTTTTTAGGTGCAGGTCGTTTAAAACACACATCTAATTACCACTGAGGCAGAGGAATGTCTGCCACCTGCGCACAATTGCAAACATTCACAACCCTCCAGCCAGGAACTTCTCAAAGTTTTTATTTGAGCCCGTAATTGAAGAGCTACACGTCTGTTCTCACTCACCCTGGTTCCTCTTCAGACGTAAGCCATTAAACCAGCAGTGTCGTCAGGAATAAGGCGTCAAATGAGTCTGCAGATTGTGAAATCATTGGATCAGAACTTTATTTGTGTTTACCGTGGTCCATCGACAGATTGGAAGTGCTTTCATTTGATTTATTTTTTATTTTTTATATCTGATTGTCACAGCAGCAGAGTTCCTCCAGGCCAAAAGGAGGCAGAATTGAGCAGATGGAGCGACAAATGCGACATATCTCCTCCTCCTCTTCCAGCACCACGACTACATCTTCTTTCTCCTCTTCCTCCTCCACCTCCTCCTCCAGTATCTCCACCATGAGTTCCACCAAACTGCGAAAAGTTTCCCAAGGTTTGTCAAAGACCATAGAAGGTTTAAATTAGAAACCAACATAGGCGGAGTTTGTTGTCAAATTACTTTTTACTGAACGAACACCATGTAGTGTTGTATTTTATAATGCGTCGAACAAAATCAAACGCATCCAATAACACAGAGTTCAAGAAGAGAAAATTAAAGTGCAGTTGTACCATCTTCACTTGAAAACTTGAAAAATGCAGAAGTATGCACCTAGAAAAAAACATCAAATCCACGTTGATTATCTGCTTTGGTTAATGACTAGTGGATAACACTAAAGGCGTCTTTTCTTCTTCTTCTTACGTTGTGTCTATGTTTACACTTAGCAGCCGCTGTGCCTGTGTAACTGTGTTTGTGTCCTCCTCGTTTCTTCAGAGAACTCAGGAGTTCAGCATAAGACATCAGCCGTGCTGGAGACCTTCAGCCAGGTACAGAAATCTCCTCACATTCCCCAGGGAGAATCTGTCCCAGATTTTGAGGAGAAGCCACGTCCCGTCACTGCCCAGGAGGGTGAGCTGAACCATCCCTCCCTTGTCCCGAGTGCCTTTAAACTTCAACAAATGCCCTTTGCAGGCCCTAATATCTGTCTTCATGTTGCATTACATTACAAACAACTGTGATCCCGCAAGAGGGAGGAAGAGTCCTCTGAGGGAAACACGTTTGCTAATTTTAGACGCCTGCCTATGGTTTGCCTAGAAACTGCAGATGACACAAACTGAAGTGTGGTGGAAAGGGGAGGAAAAACAACTTATAAGATGATGTGTGAACTTTTGGTAACAATTTAATTCAGATACGTGAAGCACTGTGGCATAAAGCCGATACTTCCACACAGGTGATGTCAAAGCTGTGACTTTTACAGCACAAAACTTTGGCTTTTTCAGCCTGGATGAATTATAAATTAAGACACTTGGAGACAACATTCACACAATGTTGGCTTTTTTTTTCAGTTTTGTCCCCTTGTCTTAGTTTTCAAGGTGAACCAACAGAATTTACTACTACATTGCTTAAAATAATTTCAGAATTACTTTTTTTAAAACATAAATTCTGCATTTTGTTTCTTTGTCATCAACAGGTGAGGACATAGTGTTTAAGGCTAAAGTGACTGGGAATCCTCAGCCCACTGTCAGCTGGGAGCGAGGCCGTGGGTGCCCGCTGTCAGACGCTGCTAAAAGTTTTTGTGACAGCAACAACAATCAGTTCATGCTGAAGGTTTGACCTTTGTTTACTCCTTACTTTAAATATAAAGTACTGGGCTGTGACAGACATCACCGACCTCTGTTACTGCTCAATCCTGACAGAAGTAGCATAGGTGGGATGAAGTACTACACACTTCAGAAAAATAGGACAGTACAGTGGGTGGAGCAGCCAAACTCTATCAAAGAAGAAGGACTGGAGAGGAAACTGTTAGAAAATGATTTTTGGGTGAGGGGACAATGAATGATGTTAGGAGGCTTTTCTGCCTCTTCAGTGCTCCTTTGGATCTCTAACCAGCCCGATGCGGTTTTAAAACACTCTGTACCAGGCAGGACCTGAAGTGAAGTTTAAATAGCTCTTATAAAGCAATTAACTTGTGGGTGCTGACATATGGAGCCTTACCATCTGTTTCCCTGGTGAAGAATGGTAGTGAAGTCCTAAAGATAAATGTTCAATATACTGTATATTTGAGGAATGACAGTGCCTCCCTTTGCCTTAAATGAGAACTGCACTACAGCTTTAATTGAAGTGACCATAGCGTCATTATAGTTTTATAGTCAAACAAGACATTTCTCCTACAGATCAAGAACCTCACCCTGGATGACGCCGACGTCTACAAGTGCATTGTTTCCAACAAGCACGGAGAAGCTACTGGCTCTGTATCACTGATCGTGACTGAAAGTAGGTCTGAGTATTTTATATAAAATGTTTTCTTCCTCTGATGGTGATGTAGACGCCTTCAGCTCAGTTTACGTGCCAGTTTTAAATGTTTTTTTTTTTTATATAGACCATGTGCCTCTGATCAAAGATTCTCTCCCTGGCTCTTGTTTCTAGATCCGGCGTTGGACTTCAAAAAGAAGTTGAAGAAACGGTAGGAACACAGGCTGGTTGTTGTCAAATGCTAACTGTGATATTTCTAAATCTCCTGTCAGGGTGTGATGGAGCTGCTCTTCTCTGATCCCCCCCCCCTCCCCATCCCTCCTTCAGATTCCTTTTTTTAGCCTTCATCAAGAAATATCTAAGAGGCATGAAGCACCGTCACCACAGAGACAGAGTTTGAGATGTTTTTGAACATTTCATACATGTGTATTCACTGTTAGATGCACTGACATGTAGCTGCACTCTTGCAGACTCACACGTATACACTTATCTATGTACCTATCTGCACTATTACAAAATGTTAAGACTCAACATTTCATTTTTAGTCAAAGATTATTTAAATTACTCCTTACCTAATAACCGTTTGATTTACTAAATCAAAATATCTATCTAATCTATCTATCTATCTATCTAATCTATCTAATCTATCTATCTAATTTATTCATCATCCATCCATTCACCCTGTGCAGTAGTGTGGAGAAAAAAGAAGAGAAGAAGCCTCCAACAGAGGAGGAGATGTTAAAGATCTTGGCTGGAGCTGACAAAAAGGACTATGAGAGGATCTGTGCGGAGTACGGCTTCACTGACTTCAGAGGCATTCTGAGGAGATTAAAAGAAATGAAGAAGAAAGTGGATGTGGAGGTGGGCCGGTCATTCTCTACCTTTTCTAAGCAACATTTTTAGATATAATACAGAACTCGACATAAAGCGGTGACCTTGATGTTGTTCGACACAATAATGACAGCCCACATGTCGTGCCATTTGTGTTTGTTATCGATCTGTAAGTAAACATTCACTTTCTTTCCCAGATGGTGCGTGTTTTGAAGCCTCTGGAGGACATCACTGCCAAAGCCGACAGTAACGTCATCTTTGATACCATTCTAGAACTGAAAGATCCCAACATGAGGATGAACTGGTTCTTGGTAAACTTCATCTGTGTGCCAACATTTGCTTGTACTTGGTTGACAGACAGCAGGCACTCCAGGGAAGAGCAAACTGTCCAGAAATGGGACAGTTAGTGGTTAGATCCCTGTCTTTTACAGTACAGTGAAGATGGTCAGCTGTCCTTTTCTTTGATTGACACATATTTTTTGTTTGTTAGCATATCCCTCCCTGGCCTGTAGATGGTGCCAAGTACAACTAGTAGCACCTGTATTTGTGAATTATTTGTAGAAGAGGCTTAAGTGTTTCTTAAGAGTTGAAGCCTGTCTCTGTCCACAGTATTTGTGAGAATGGTACTAGTATCTGTCAAAATAGATACTAGTACCATTGGTCAGCCTTTTTCCAAAAAATATTAATTTTATTTTTTGAATTAAAATTAAACTCACAAAGTCATGCACATAAAGAGCCTAAAAGGGTGGTTGGATATATAACATAAAGCAAATGCATAAAAATAATTTTCCTCTCACTGAGCTGTTTCGTTTTCAATTCAGGGCACGGAGCTGCTGAGAATCCAGTATTCTCACGGGAAATATGAAGTAAAGCAGATGGGAACCAAACACATGCTGTGCATTTCCAGCGTGAGCCTCAGTGACATGGGAATGTATTCACTGCAGGTTGGAGACAAGAAACTGGCAGCCAAGCTTCACGTCATCGGCAAGTCCTCTTTCGGAGCAGCTCTTGTATACACTCACGGTCACTTTCACTGTTTAAAGAAGTTTCTCTCAGAATTAGCATTTTCACCATCTGTGCCACGTTCTGTCCACTGTACCAGACGGGGCTTTTTTCTCACATCATGTCCTTTATATCTGCACCACTCCTTTTATTTCTATTTACAATTTTATTTCTGGACTTTTCTTTCGACAGCATGATAACTGCTATTATTACTACTACTAATTATCTCACTTTTCATAATTATATTTTCTTAGATGAACCTCTGAAATTCCTGTCTGACTTCAAACCGCAGAAGGTGACGGAGCGTCAGACTGCCGTGTTTGAGGTCCGACTCTCGAAGAAAACAGATGCTCCTCTCATCTGGAAGGTTTGTACAGAATCCGTTGATGCACGCAAATATTTAGTAAGAAAACAGTTGAAGTAAACCTTTTGTTTTTCCAGGTGAAGGGAAAGGAAGTGAAAAGAGATGAAAAGTTTGAGGTGTCCTTGTCTGTCGACGGCCTGACGTACACTCTAAAGATAAAGGATGTGAAAGTCAGTGACACTGGAGACTACACCATCAGCATTGGAGATCTCAACGCCACCGTGCCTCTTTTTATTGAACGTACGCGCAGCAGTTGGGTTTTTTATGACTGTTAAAGTTTTTTATGTGTTTATGTCTTTGTTATTCCCAGATCAACAGTGTCTGCCTGTTTTAGAGGCAGGCAAACTGCCCTCCTTTCAGACTCAGCAGAGAGAAGCAGTTACTGCCCATCCCTCGAGATTAGTGGCTGTGTTTTTTTCATAGCGGTACTAAACAACATCATCTTTCTTCTGAGTTTCATAGGACGAGCTATAGGAAGCATATTAATCATCCGTCCGAGTGCTGAGTTGTAATTCAGACAAATCCCTCATCACGATGCACTCACTTATTACTACTCTGTCTGACAAGATCTTTCCATGCCAAGTTTGTGCAGTAAATGTCAGAAGACACATGGGTTGTGTTGTTGCCTTAATTACAATAAGTCATTACTAGATTGTTCCAAGAAGAACAATCTAGTAATGACTTTTGTAGAAGTTGTTGGAGGTGGTTTGTGTACCACCCAAAACATTTTATTGGGGATAAGAAATAGGAAAAGAAAACATACAACAAATTTTTCTATGAAGATTCTCAGTCATCCAGGCCACGGTCAAGGTTGAAGAGTTCCGTTAGGCAGCTGAACGTGAAATTTTCTCACAGAACTCTTCAACCATACAACTAATATTAAAACAAATTCAAAGTGCAGCAGCTCAACACTGAACCTTTAGTTTTCTCAAGAGTCTTGACATTTGTCAAAATGCATTTATGGGAAGAGAATCCAGTAAGTTTGCACTGAGGATCAACAAAATGGTAGAAATATATTCAGTTCGTCTGCGGACCAGTACCAAATGAGCCATGGCCAGTGTGCTCTATCTCTGGCTAATATGGTTTTGACCTGAGTATCCAGTTAGAGGACTACATTTATATACATTTCCATTTTTATTTCTCTGTAGGAATCCCTATCAAGTTCACGACTCAGCTGAAAAATGTCCGCGTACAGGAGAGGGCTAAGGCCCACCTCGAGTGTGAGATGAACTCCAAAGATGTGCATGTCCGCTGGCTGAAGGACGGGTGTGACATCACTGCGAGCCGTCACTACATATTCATGCACGAAGGCAAAAGGGCAGAGGTCATTATCGAGGATTGTGAGCTGACGGATGCGGGAGAGTATTCTGTGGTCTGCACCCAGGACAATGACACACACGAATATGTGGCCTCTGCCAATCTGACAGTGGATGGTAATGATGTTCCTGTGTCTGTCTGCCTCCGCAGCTGCTTATGATGTCAGCCAGTGTCTACCTTTGGAGAGTGGTTGACAACTACAATGGGTTATTCCTCTGATCTTCTTGTGTTTTCAGAACGCTTCGCCTCAGTGAAGAGCGGCCTGTCAGACACTCAGTGTGGAACCGGTTCTCTCGCCGAGCTGTGTGTTGTTCTAGATGACGAGAAGGTGGATGGAGTGTGGCTGAAGGATGGACAGGAGGTAGGAACATCAATCACAGTAGGGTGGATTACTATAACGTTGATTACACGGAAACAATTAAGTGTTTTTCATCAGTCAATTAGAGCCATCACGCACACACACAGAGTGACACAGCCATCAACCCATTTTCTAACATTTAATGGTGTCAGGGCTGCATTTACTGAGGGTGAAGTAGAGCCTGAATTGTCACAGAGCTACATATAAAGACAAACAACTCTTCACACTTTCACTATTCCACCAACTCAGTCAAAGAGAAGATTACCCAAGATGTACCACTAGAGGGAGCCCAAGTACCACCGTGGTATTCATGCCTTGATTTTACAACCACTGGTGGAGATTATTTACAGGATGAATTCATGCTAATGAATCATGGAAATTGATATTTGCAGATTTCAGAACAGAGTGCGGTTCAGGTGGTCAAACAGGGGGCTGTCCACAAGCTGATGTTTTCAGGTGTCACTCAGTCACACGAGGGGAAGTACACCTTCAGAGCCAAGGGAGCTGAGAGTGAGGCCGTGCTCACCATTGCCGGTCAGTACTGTTTGTGTGTGTGTGTGTGTTAGTGTAACTGAATATGTTATTGTTGTTGTTCAATTTCTCTATACTGTATGTCACTGTCAATGACATCAAGACACATCAAACCTGGAGGAGCTCCAGGCAGCTGTGTCAGTGGAGAGCTGTCAAGAACTCAGGTTTTATGTGATTTGATGGACTATTTACATCTTGTGTGCACCTGATGTTGTCGATGACCTTATGGTCAGCACTTTATCCCAAAGTCTAAAAAATCTAATCCAATTATGATAAGAAAATGTGTTAGAAGGGCTTTAATGTAACAGTGGAGTCTGGGTAATTCCCAGAATCCAGGCAGTTTTACTTTGTTTGCTGTAGTACTGGCGTGTAGTCCTGTGCTACAGAATCCTTGTGTAATTTTTTTCCCCAATGGAAGTTTATAAGAAAAAAATTAAATGAAAGTTAGGAATCTAAATATAATTACGAATAAAAAAATATTTTTGTTTTTCAGATCCTCCAGAGATAGACTGCTCTGTGTTGGACTGTTTGGTGGCTCAACCTGTGACTGTGAAGGCTGGACAGACCGCCACCATAAACATCCCCTTCAGAGGAAAACCACTGCCCAAGATTACGTGGTACAAAGATGGGGCCGAGGTCCTGGAGGATGAACGAACCAAAGTAGAGAGGACAGCTGACGTCACCTCTCTGATACTCAGCAGGTGGACAGGCGGAATAAGATTTTTTGAGTTTGTTGAAGTTGAATGCACACTTTTGTGTATTTTACCGTTTACTCTACACTAGGTGTGTACGAGAGGACAGCGGTGTGATTATGCTCCGTCTGAAGAGTGACTGTGGCACAGCTGTTGCAAATCTGCAGCTCAACGTCATCGGTGGGTGAGACACAAAGACCGAGCGTTTTATGACGTTTGTAACATTGAAGCCATTATTTTCTATCTTCCTTAGACCACCCAAAGCCTCCTCAGGGGACGGTGGAGTTCTCTGAGCTTTCAGGGAGGTGTATAAAAATGAAATGGAAGGCTCCCCGTGATAACGGGGGCAAGCCCATAACTGGCTTTGTGATTGAGCGGCGAGCGGCAGGTAAAAAGTCTTGGACCAGGACAGGTGAGGTGGACAGCAGCGCCACCACTTTCACTGATGACCAAGTGGATGAAGGTCAGATGTACCAGTACCGCATTAGGGCTGTGAATGAAGCGGGAATGAGTGAACCTCTGGAAACTGAAGAGGTCCGTGCTGGAGAGCCTGTAGGTGAGACTCTTGGTTATATTTTTATGTTCACATCACCCTCCAGAATAAAGAAAAGCAGGTGGGAAAAGGAAGGTCAGGGTATTTTTAGAGGATAGCCTTACTATTTCATCAGTATATTTGACTTTTGTTCTTTTTGAAACACCTAGCTCCACCTGGCACAGCCTCCCAGCCACAAGTGTCTAATGTGACAAAGAGCACCATGACAGTGAGCTGGACTCCTCCAGGTGATGACGGAGGAGCCCCGGTCCTGGGCTACTTTCTGGAAAGAAGAAAAAAAGGCAGCAATATGTGGCTGCAGGTCAACACAGAGATGCTCACAGGTCAGAACAGAGCTCAGAACTGAGGAAATGTATATGTAGAGAATGTGTTTATATGAGGTTATTGTAGACATCGTATTACTTATTCACATTAACGTTTTTCTGTGTTTACACAAATGGATCATTGGAAGGTAGGAGATCTGATCGTACTTGACACCATCACATCACAACGACACTGCTACTCCTTCCCTTCTGCCATATCATGATAAAAGTCACTTTGCTGTTAGATGTATTTTTAACTTTTAGTACTAACATTACCACAGAGTGCAAGGGTGTCAAACTCAAATTTACAGTCGTGTGCCGAACTTAAGATTTATTGAAAAATTGATGGCAATTGTGCATGTTTTCCCTTGTAGAATTTTTGTATATGGAAACAAACTTTAGTTTTGCATAAACATTGAATCTGGAACAACCAAAGCTTAATATTATAAACACGTGAGAAATTAAATTTGAAATAAAACACACATCAGTTGTATTTGTTTGTTATTATGTCTCTTTATTTGTAGCCTTTCGAGTTTCTTTTGAATGTATAATGAAAGTATTAGCGGTGTAACATCATACACCGCTAATACTACAAATCCTGACAGTACATAAGGTCTATATACTGGCAGGCAAACTCTAGTACACATTTGATATGATCTCGTGGGCTAAATATAATCATACTGCAGGCCAGATTTGGCCCCAGGCCTGAGTTTGACATGTGTAACACAGTGAATGCATGTTTTAAATGCATCCTCAAATATATGTGTGTTGTAACATTAAGATTCCAGAGTGATCGTGGACGGCTTGGTGGAAGCGGTGGAGTATGAGTTTAGAGTCACCAGTGTGAACAGGGCTGGAGCAGGTTCTTCTAGCATTGTTTCCAATGCTGTGCTCGCTAAAGATCCAATACGTGAGTTGTTTTTTTTCCTTCTTCTGTTTGTGTCTAATTTTTTTTTTTTTTTCTTCTTCTGTTTGTGTCTTGGTTATGTTTCCAGGCCAATAATATTTCTCTGTTTTTTTTTTTAAACTTCTAGGTTCTCCTGGTCTGGTGAGAAATCTCTGTGTCACTGACTCTACAAACTCCTCCATTTCTCTGCGCTGGACATCTCCAGAGCAAGGGGATGAACCTTCAGGCTACATCCTGGAGGTGCGTCCTTCAGATGCTAAAGAGTGGACGAAAGCTACTAAAATACCCATTGCTGGCACTGTGTTCACTGTTGGAGGACTTCAGGAGTGCACAAAGTATCACTTCCGTATCCGAGCCGTAAATGAAGGAGGTCTGGGGGAGAGTATTCAGTTGCAGGAAGGTGTATTAGCCATGCCTCCACCTGGTGGGTGACTGAATTGTCTTGTCGTATCATTTTTCTTTTCTCACATTCTTCTTTGGTTTTTCTTGCTTGTCATTGTTCATTTTATTTGAAGTGCCACCCAGGTTTGACCTCCAGGGAAAGCTGAAGAACCAGATGGTGATCCGAGCAGGGGCAACACTGTGTCTGCACCTAAGCTTCACTGTAAGACCTGGACAATATGTTCAACATCAGTGTTCCTTTAAACCACCCTGATGCCATGCCTAGTTTCTAATGCCTTCCCCGTCCCACACAGGGTTCACCTCCCCCGGTAGTTACCTGGTATAAAGACGGCGTCCTCACCACAGGAAGAGAGGTCATCACCAAGAGCAAGACTAACTCCCAGTTGCTCATTTCCTCCTCTCAAAGATCTGACTCTGGTGTTTTCCGTGCCCATCTGAGGAATGACTATGGGGAGACTCACTATGACGTCAATGTCAGAGTTACTGGTGAGCCACAAAACATGATTCGTTCTGCTGTTTTTGGCTATGACTGTGTCTCTGATTCAAAATACAGGGGTCCTCGGTTTACAATGTCCTCAACGTGTCATAGTTACCTTGTCATCTCCCATAAATTTATTATGAAAGTCTTGTTCCGTCATTCGGACTTATGGGCTGATAACAAATCTCATACAGGAACTAATTGGCGAGTGGAGTGGATGAAAACATTACCACAAGGCAGACAGCCTTTGTTTACATTCGCTTTCTTCCATTTGTGTTGTTTTGGGAACTTCTCGTCCTCCATTATGGCTCCCAAGTGTTAGTCAGACTCTTCTGATGTCCCAGATGTCCTAGCCTTATTCTTGACGAGGGCCCACTGTGCCAATAATCGTAGCCATTTATCTTGAGCACAATCCAATTTCTCCTGTCCTCAGACTTTCCTCGCCCCCTAAAGAACCTGCGTCTTGTAGAGGAGGTCCCAGGCACTGTGACCCTGCAGTGGGACCACTCCCCAGACTTGTCTGATGAAGTTGATGGAGCCCATTATGTCATCCTGAAGAGAGACACCAGCACTACGTCCTGGTTTACTTTAGCCGAGCGCGTCTTTAGCAGCAGGTACACCGTGACTGGAATACTTCCTGGGAGGAAGTACTTCTTCAGGGTCATTGCACAAAACTCCATAGGGGACAGCGACCCTCTGGACTCAAAAGAACCTTTTGTCATCGCTAAGGAAAAGGGTGAGTGTGTAAGGTACAGTAGTTATTTTAAATGTTTCGTCATCTATAAAAACGACAAAACTGACACCAACCAATCAGAACAAATCTGTCTGTCTGTCTGCAGAGTGCTTTGGCAGTTTGCAGTTGAAAGAATATGCCTCCGCCCCACGTCAGGTGAAACCTACTTTCTTGTTGCCTCTTAAAAACCATGCCGTTCGCAAAGGACACGACTGCACCATGAGCTGTGCATACCAGGGCATGCCAACTCCACAGGTAATACAGGCACATCACCAAAGAACAAGATGGTGATAAGTGACATTGTTTTTGGCATGGGTTCACTGTTTATTTTACTGGGGGAAATTGTAACATTTACATAAAATAATAATAATAACTATTATTGTGATTATTATTATTATGATTATTATTATAGAGTCCCTTATTCAATCCACACTGGAGACATTTACAGTGTGAGTCTTTGAAACTGACACAGGCTGCCACAGGAGGCGCCATTAGGGATATGTGGTTCCTCTACCTCCATGTAAAGCACAGTGGTTCTGCATTGTGAGTTGCAGTAGTTGGAGGTTCCTGACTGGTTCAAACGTGATTTCCTTTGACTCCTTTATGTCCAAGTCCATGTCCAGAGTCTGATAAACTGTCAATTTCTCCAGAGTAGATGTCCAAGTCCTTTTCAGTCTAAACCTGTCATGTTGTCTGTGTAGGTCTTTCATGTTAAGTAGAATCAGGGAGCAGGCAGGACCCAAACGCAGCACTCGTAGACAACGATTGGGTGCAGGAAGTTTATTTATTTATTTAAGCCTAAAATAATACTCGGCAGGTGATCCAGTATAATTTACTGAGTATAATGAGTCAATAGAAACATGGGTGGGAACAAGAACTACAGTCACACATACACACTGTGTGAGATTGATTAACAGGGACCACAGGACCCAGGTGAGTGTGATGAAACTGGTTAATGAACCACAGAGAAACAGACAGACCTGACAACACCCAAGTCCTCTTGTTCAGTCCATGCTGAGGTCTACCAAGCTTTTGAAACCTCCCATGTCTACACCGTGGTCTGGTTTACTGTTGACTTCTCTCTAGTCCATTTTTCAATAGTGTTGAACATTATTGTTTGAGGCAGTATGTAACACGACTCCATAACAAGTACTGTTATTGTTTGAGCTCTGTATCTTTCCTGCAGACATTTTCCTTTTAACACCAAGTACTGTTGTGCAGGCCTGCTGGTATAAAGGAGAAACAAAGATCTCTGACTCTCCTCAGTTCTGGCACAGCACTGCTAACGGAGTGTGCACCCTGGTTATTCCCACCTGTGCTGTCAAGGACGCTGGAGAGTACACACTGGTATTAGAGAACCCACTGGGCTCGGCCAAGAGCTCCTGCAACCTGGTGATCTTTGGTAAGTTCTCAGGGATGAAGAGAGGTCAGGGGTCATTGGTTCATGAGAACAGCTGTATCATGTTTGAAGTGAAACAGAGTTAACCCCTAAACACGTCCTTGTGTCCTCCAGATAAGGATGACAGGAGTCTTTTGGAGACTCTGAGCAACCATGCCAACAGAGAGAAAGTCATTTTCAGAGAGTTGTGAATGATGCGCTGCTGAAAGTGCTCTTTGACTGGTGTCTTATGTGTGAGCTGCATGAACTGATGACACTTTACACAATTACAGAAATGCAAAGTGACTTCACTCTTTTCCTCTGACAGTACCTAAAGTGACCACAAGGGGTCATACAAAGACATTGTCACGCTCACAATATCACCCTGCTCAGTGAGACTCACTGAATTTCTCAGATGACTTTTTCTTCTATTATTTGACTTCGGTCCAGATCAGAGTGCCATCTATTTTAGCTTCCAGTGTTTTTGTGCTCTCTACTATAAAGAAATATTTTACTTCCACCTTGAATGCAATCACTTAATTTAAAAGTTTAAAAAAACCTTCCACACAGTTTGTCTTATTTGCTTTGAAACCTTGTTTGTTTTTAAAATAAACAGTTTTCTCAGTGTCTGTTCTTTGAAAAAACTTTTTATTTAACAGACCAGGTGGTATAAAATTACCGTCAAACTGTGTTGAATGTGATCTGTTGTTGTGGCACAGTGGTACAGTCATTCTATGGGGGGATGGGGGGTGTTTTAGATCAGATTATAAAGAAATGTGCAAGATCCTCTTTTATTCTTTCTGTTCACTGATGTAACAAGACACCTTTTATTTTCTAACCCTTTGCCTGATGTACACAGTACTTTACTGTCTGTACTGTAGTTATTTTTACGTCATTTGCTTCCTGTGGCCTACTGCTCAGAGTGAGAAAACTGCATAAGAACACAGACTTCCTGTATTTTATCAGACTAATTACATAAAGTCCAAACATTGTCCTAGCAACCATTTGATTAAATACCAATGACTACTGATTACTTGGATAATATGTTATTAAGAACAACAATAGAAAATGACTTGTTTTTCTAGGGCTTTTATCCTGCTAAAATAAGCAAATGAGATGCATTCGTCAAGTTTATGTTTGCATTGCGGCTCTGAGTTTTCTGCTGCTTCCCAGTGGAATTGATATTGGTATTAACCATCACTGAAACTTGTTTATATCACTGTTACTATGCGGATTTTATTGATGATTCCCTTACCTAAAAACATTGCACTTGATTGCCAAACCCTGTCTGTAAGTTACCAAAAGTAGATTAGGAGGATATATTAAAAGGTGGCGGTCAAGTAGAAAACCTGAGGAGACAGAACGGTGAACAGTGACTCTGTCTAGTCTGAATGAGTCTCCCCTGGACTCCAGGCTGTTGAAAGCACATATTCCACTTCTGCTCAGACAAAAGACTGTAGCGGTTCCTCCAACAGAGCTGTTGTTCTTTTAATGCACTTTAAGGCACTTTAGCTGCTGAGGGCCAGCACTTATAAATATCAGCTGACGTTCCAAATGTGGAACCTTTGGATTTTTGTCACAGTGGAAAAAAAACCCCACAGGGACACTGTGTTGAGGTTGCATTGTAATTGCATTTAATTCACCAATAGATATTCACATTCAGAGCAGTCTCACTACAGCAAAGGAACTATTTGTCACTACAGTCATGAAAGGAACAAATCACTAAGTGAAATTGAGGACAACGTGAAGAATACAGTCCCATTCAAAAATCTTCAAAAAGGTACATATTGCATTGTATTGGGCATTGAGTGAAAACTAAATCAAATGTTATTGGTACAACACAAACATTACTTTCTGCCACAGTAGCAAGAACTCAAAAATAAATGTAAGTTTTTTTCTACATATGTTATAATAACACTTTGTCAGATTGTAACACTTGTAAATAAAGCTATAGGGCCAATACTATCTTAACTGAACCATCAATGTTATGCTGCTGATGTTAAATGTTTATTCAAGAGTATACAGGGAAAATGTCAATATAATCCAATACACACTGTAGTCATTTGAACACCCAGTGCTCAATTAAAAAGGAAACTGAGCGGTCGGTCTCAAAGTACAGAGGACAGTAAATTAGAACTGATGTGTTTAACAACTTCAGCAGAAGCAGCATATTTACAGCAGGGCTTTCAAATGATAGATCACAGAAGAAAACGCAAAGAAGAAAAATATATATGATCAACAGAAAGTGCCGACTTGTTCAGAGAACCCAGAGGTCCCTTTTTATACATACAATACATACACAGGAAACTACTGGTGTCCACTCATCACTATACTGCGAAGGCCATGCCATAAAGTAGCCTCCTACAGCTTCAGTCCTCTTTTGTCTGCATGCATAATCCTCAGGACAACAGAACTATTGACAGGCTGAGGGAAAATGATGCTCCTGCTGGCCTGCCATCTGTGGGGCGACAGGTTGCAGCTAACAGGCAGGATGGGAAGGAAAACCTTCTCCCGTGTGTCGTATTTCACCTCCTCACCATATTCCAGTTACAGTTTCAGCTCAACAATAACCTTGTTCCTGAGAGGAAGGCC